GGAGCTGCTGAGGGTGTTGGCGCTGAGGCTACTGCTGTCAGTCCTGGCGACGTCCTGCTGCGGGTGCTACTGGTGCTGCTGGAGGTACTGGAGCTGGAGGTGCTGTTGACGCTGGTGCTGCCACTGGGGGTACTGGTGCTGTCCCTGCTGTGTCTGGAGTCGCCGCGCGGCCTCGGCCGTACTTTTTTCCGCTCCTTCAGCAGGTTCTTGTTCTTCCTCCTCCCTTAGAGTGTCCACCGCCTGTCCAGTCGCAGTCGCAGTTACCACCGGTCTCCCCACTGCCTTCTCCTTCTCCGTACACTGGTCCTACTGGAGGTCTTGCTGAGCGTCGTGAGCCTGCGTCTCGTCCTGCGTCGCCTGTTCGTGCTGCTCGCACTAGTGGTCACAGTTCGCGTCAGCGTCCTCCTCCTGTCCTTGGCACGCACCGGATGTCTCTGCGTCCGTCCACTGCTCCTCTGCGTGCCCCTTTGCCCTCTCCTCCTGAGTCCTCTCTTCCTGTGCTTGCCGACCCTGAGTCGGACTCTCTTTGTGCTGCCAGTCCTGCTATCACGCGTCTCCTTGCTACTGTCGTCACTGAACCCTCCTTTGAGTCCACTGCTGCGTCTGCTCTTGTTGCTGAGCTCGTCGACTTTGCTGCTCGCTGTCGTCTAGACTACGCTGCTAGTCTTGTTGCTGAGTCTGCGTCTGTCTGTCCTCCGTCCGTCGGGGGTGAGTGTGCTCTTGGCACGGACGTCCTTGAGGACAGGCAGGAGGAGTTCCAGTGTCTGGCTGCTGCTTCACCTCATCTCGCGTCCGTACTGCTTACCCCTGAGGGAGACCCGGATGCACTAGACATCCCGACTCCGCGCTCTTACGCGGAGGCCGTAGAGGGTCCCTACTCCTCTCAGTGGCAGGCAGCTATGGATGCAGAGATGGCTTCCTGGAAGTCCACAGGCACCTACGTTGACGCGGTTCCCCCTCCTGGGGCGAACATCGTCAGTGGCATGTGGATCTTCAGGGTGAAGCGGCCGCCGGGCTCTCCACCTGTCTTCAAGGCGCGGTACGTGGCTCGTGGCTTCAGTCAGCGGCAGGGAGTTGACTACTTTCAGACCTTCTCTCCCACCCCGAAGATGACCACTCTTCGGGTGCTGCTACACATAGCAGCTCGGCGTGACTACGAGCTTCACTCCCTTGACTTCAGCACTGCTTTCCTGCAGGGTAGCCTGCACGAGGAGATCTGGTTGCGCCGTCCACCAGGCTTCACTGGGACTTTCCCTCCTGGCACCCAGTGGAGCCTCCGACGGCCAGTCTACGGTCTCCGCCAGGCACCGCGCGAGTGGCACGACACACTGAGGACTACACTTGCGGCTCTTGGGTTTGCTCCCTCTACTGCTGACCCGTCGCTGTTTCTACGCACCGACACCTCTCTGCCGCCGTTCTACATCCTCGTGTACGTCAACGACTTGGTCTTTGCCACAGCTGACACTACTGGACTCGCCCACGTGAAGTCCGAGCTGCAGAAGAGACACACGTGCACAGACCTGGGTGAACCGCGCAGCTACCTTGGCTTGCAGATCACCCGGGACAGAGCATTCCGCACCATTTCCCTAACTCAGTCACACATGGTGCAGCAGGTCCTTCAGCGCTTCGGCTTCACGTACTCCTCGCCTCAGGCCACTCCTCTGTCTACTCGCCACTCGCTCTAAGCTCTGCCTTCGGATGAGTCCGTAGAGTCGAGTGGCCCGTACCCAGAGCTTGTTGGCTGCCTCATGTACCTAATGACCTGCACACGACCTGACCTTGCATACCCTCTTAGCATTCTTGCACGCTATGTTGCTCCTGGGAGACACAGACCAGAGCACATGGCTGCAGCTAAGAGGGTGTTGCGTTACTTGTGCAGTACGTCGGGCATGGGGCTAGTGCTTGGAGGGCGGAGTCCAGTGGTCCTCACTGGGCACGCGGACGCTTCTTGGGCAGACGACCAGGCTACGCAGCGGTCGTCACAGGGTTACACCTTCAGCCTTGGTTCCGGCTCTGTTTCGTGGCGGGCTACTCGCTCGTCTTCTGTTCTCGGCTCCAGTTGTGAGGCTGAGATCTACGCCGGGGCCATGGCTGCACAGGAGCTTCGCTGGCTTACCTACCTGCTGACTAACCTCGGAGAGCCGCCTCGTTCCCCTCCGGTGCTGTACGTAGACAACAAGGCCATGCTAGCCTTGTGTCGGGAGCACCGCCTGGAGCACAGAACGAAGCACATTGCTCTCCGCTACTTTCTTGCTCGTGAGTTGCAGCAGCGTGGTCAGTTGCGACTTGCGTACGTGGCCTCTGAGGCCAACACTGCTGATGTTTTCACCAAGGCACTTGCGCCTTGTGATCATCAGCGCTTCTGTACTCAGCTTGGTCTTGTGCCTGTCTTGCCTCACTTGCTCACCTCTTCACCTTGCTTGTACTGTTCCATATATATACACCTGCTCTTGCTTGTCTAGCTTTCTATATATATGTACTCATGCATGTGAACTGGCCTTGTGGCCTTGAACTTGTGCTCGGAATGTGTGGTGACTTTGTGATCCACCCTGAGCTTGCTTTGCTTTGCTTTGCTTGACTGGTCTTGTGACCGCTTGTTCTCCCCCACTTTGCCTATGGGGGTGTGTCAGAATATTATAGCTTGTGCTTTTGTGTAGGCTATAGTGGGGTAGCCCATATGGGGTACAACCCAATTAGGGTTAATACTTGTACCCAACTCTTTCATAGTTCATTCATTCTCGTTCTCATCTTCTCAGTACCTGCTGTGTCTGGCGTCGCCGCGCGGCCTTGACCGTACTTCGTTCCACTCCTGCAGCAGGTTCTTGGTCTTCCGCCTTCTACTGGTCCTCCTCCTTCTTTAGGGTGTCCACAGCCAGTCCCGTCACAGTTACAGTTGCAGCCTACCTCCCCTTTGCCTGCTCCTTCTCCCTACACTGGTCCTACTGGAGGTCTTACTGAGCGTCGTGAGCCTGCGTCTCGCCCTGCGTCGCGTGTCCGTGCTGCTCGCGCTAGTGGTCGTGGTTCGCGTCAGCGTCCTCCTCCTGTCCCTGGCACGCACAGGATGTCTTTGCGTCCGTCCACTGCTCCTCTGCGTGCCCCTTAGCCTTCTCCTCCTGAGTCCTCTCTTCTTGCTTTTGCCGACCCGGAGTCGGACTCTCTTTGTGCTGCCAGTCCTACTGTCACGCGTCTCCTGGCTACTGTCGTCACTGACCCTTCTTTCGAGTCCACTGTTGCGTCTGCCCTAGTTGCTGAGCTCGTTGACTTTGCTGCTCGCTGTCGCCTAGACTACGCTGCTAGTCTTGTCGTTGAGTCTGAGTCTGTCTGTCCTCCGTCCGTCGGGGGTGAGTGTGCCCTTGGCACGGACGTCCTTGAGGACAAGCAGGAGGAGTTCCAGTGCTTGGCCGCTGCTTCACCTCATCTCGTGTCCGTACTGCTTACCCCTGAGGGAGACCCGGATGCACTTGACATCCCGACTCCGCGCTCTTACGCGGAGGCGATAGAGGGTCCCTACTCCTCTCAGTGGCAGGCAGCTATAGATGCAGAGATGGCTTCCTGGAAGTCCACAGGCACCTACGTTGACGCTGTCCCCCCTCCTGGGGCGAACATCGTCAGTGGCATGTGGATCTTCAGGGTGAAGCGGCCGCCGGGTTCTCCGCCTGTCTTCAAGGCGCGTTACGTGGCTCGTGGCTTCAGTCAGCGGCAGGGAGTTGACTACTTTCAGACCTTCTCTCCCACCCCAAAGATGACCACTCTTCGGGTACTGCTGCACGTTGCTGCTCACCGTGACTACGAGCTGCACTCTCTCGACTTCAGCACAACTTTCTAGCAGGGCAGCCTGCACGAGGAGATCTGGCTGCGCCGCCCACCTGGCTTAACTGGGCCTTTCCCTCCTGGTACCCTGTGGAGTCTCCGACGTCCAGTCTACGGTCTCCGCCAGGCACCACGTGAGTGGCACGACACACTGAGGACTACGCTTGCGGCTCTTGGGTTTGCTCCTTCTACTGCCGACCCGTCGCTGTTTCTGCGCACCGACACTTCTCTACCGCCGTTCTACATCCTCGTGTACGTCGACGACTTGGTCTTTGCCACACCTGACACTGCTGGACTCGCCTACGTGAAGTTTGAGCTGCAGAAGAGACACACGTGCACAGAGCTGGGTGAACTGCGCAGCTACCTTGGCTTGCAGATCACCCGGGACAGAGCACGCCGCACCGTTACCCTGACTCAGTCACACATGGTGCAGCAGGTCCTTCAGCGCTTCGGCTTCACGTACTCCTCGCCTCAGGCCACTCCTCTGCCTACTCGCCACTCGCTCTCAGCTCTGCCTTCGGATGAGTCCGTAGAGTCGAGTGGCCCGTATCCAGAGCTTGTTGGCTGCCTCATGTACCTGATGACCTGCACACGACCTGACCTTGCATACCCTTTTAGCATTCTCGCACGCTATGTTGCTCCTGGGAGACACCGACCAAAGCACATGGCTGCAGCGAAGAGGGTGTTGCGCTACTTGTGCAGTACGTCGGGCATGGGGCTAGTGCTTGGAGGGCGTAGTCCAGTAGTCCTCACTGGGCACGCGGACGCTTCTTGGGCTGACGACCAGGCTACGCAGCGGTCGTCATAGGGTTACACCTTCAGCCTTGGTTCCGGCTCTGTTTCGTGGCGGGCTACCCGCTCGTCTTCTGTTCTCGGCTCTAGTTGTGAGGCTGAGATCTACGCCGGGGCCATGGCTGCACAGGAGCTTCGCTGGCTCACCTACCTGCTGTCTGACCTTGGAAAGTCGCCGCCCTTTCAGCGGCCCCGTCGCCGCCCTTCCACGGCCTCGCTGCCCGCCCTTGCAGCGGCCCCGTCGCCGCCCTTCCGCGGCCTCGACGCCGCCCTTCCGCGGCCCCGTCGCCGCCCTCCAGCGGCCGCGTCGCCACCCTTTCAGCGGCCTCGTCACCGCCCTTCCACGGCCTCGCCGCCCGCCCTTGCAGCAACTCCGTCAACGCCTTTCCGCGGCCCCGATGCCGCCCTTCCGCAGCCCCGTCGCCGCCCTCCAGCGGCCCCGTCGCCGCCCGTCAGCGGCACCGTCGCCGCCCTTTCAACGGCCCCGTCGCCGCCCGCCCTTTCAGCGGCCCCGTCGCCGCCCTTCCGCGGCCCCGACGATGCCCTTCAGCGGCCCCGTCGCCACCCTTCCGCGGCCCCGTCGCCGCCCTTTCAGCGGCCAGTCGCCGCCCTTTCTGCGGCCCGTCGCCGCCCTTTCAGCGGCCCCGTCGCCGCCCTTCCGCGGCCGCATTGCCACTCAGCCGCCCAGCGCCAGAGCCGCCGAGCCGCCCAGCCGCCGAGCAGCCGAGCCGCCGAGCAGCCAAGCCGCCGAGCACCCGAGCCGCCCTGCAGCCGAGCCACTTGACCGCCGAGCTGCCCTGCAGCCGAGCCGCCCGACCGCCGAGCCACCCAGCTGCCGAGCCGCCGAGCCGCACCGCAGCCGAGGCGCTGCCGCCTGTCGGCCTGCCCGGGACCGCCCCACTTGCCTGGTAAGAGCAGCGCCTCTACCACTGCACTGCCCTGCCCCACTGTACTCACTGCCTGTCTACTGCTATCATGGCCTCCCCTAGTGTTCTCACCTTTGACGCTGAGGGTCGGGCAGTTGACTTTGAGGTATGGGTAGATGATTTGCAGCTTTTCCTACAGTTCGATAGGGCAGACGGTCTCTCCCTGTTTGACCTCACTTCTGGTGCCTCTCCTGCCCCTGCTGCTAATGCTGTCGCCACTGTTCGCTCACAGTGGGCCACGCGTGATGCTGCTGCTCGCCTTGCTGTGCGCCGCCACTTACCGACCACTGAGCGTGCACACTTTAGCCATTACAAGAGTGCTCAGACCTTGTACGACGGTGTAGTTGCACGCTACTCTTCCCCTGCCACTGCTGCACTGAGCCGCCTCATGCTACCGTACCTCTTCCCTGACCTTGCTGCCTTTCCCATAGTCGCCGACCTCATTACGCACCTCCGCACTAGTGACACTCGCTACCGCGCTGTGCTTCCTGCTGAGTTCTGCGCCAAGAACCCCCCCCCCCCATATACATCACCCTCTACTACATAGTCACCCGGCTCCCTGACTCTCTCCGCGTAGTCAGGGACCACTTCCTCTAAGTTTGCCCCACCACTCTCACCGTTGACCTCCTCGAGAAGGCCCTCCTAGTCGCAGAGAAGAGTATAGTCGCTGTAGGAGCCTCTTGTGGTGACCCTCGCACCCCCGTCTTTGAGGAGTGTTCTCCCTCCCCCCTCTTGCCCTCTGTTGCCTCTACTGCTGCGGCCGACCTCGTTTGTTTCGAGTCGGTCAATGCTGCATCTGCCCCGAGCGGGAGACGCCGCACCGGCAAGTGCAAGCGGGGCAAGGGCGCTGGAGGGGCTGGCGGGGGCGGTGGAGGTGGTGGTGGAGGAAGTGGAGGGAGTGGGGGTGGTGGTGGGAGTGGTGCCGGGGGTGGCGGCAGCGGCGGCAGCGGCGGCAGCAGTGGAGGCGGCGGAGGCGGCGGTGGTGGCGGAGGGAGCGGAGGCGGCGGAGGTGGCGGAGGAGGCGGAGGTGGAGGAGGCGGCGGAGGCGGCGGCGGCGGCGGCGGCGGTGGTGGAGCAGGTCACGACTCTTCGCAGAGGAGTGGCTCAGGTGGTGGTCCGCGCCAGCAGCAGCGGAGTGGTGTGACCCTGTCCCATCAGCAGCTTCGTGAGTGGTACACTGCGCGCCAGCGCGGTGGGGGTTTTGGTCCCTGCACTTACGTCCTCCGTACCTGTTGGTGCAACCCTACGGTTTGCACTCGGCTTGTTGTCCGTGTGCGTGCATGTATGTGTGTATGGAATGGTATGAGGGCATAGGATAATATATATTTCATGCTCATAATTGTGTGTGAATGTTGAGTCATGATGTCGAGTGTGTGTGTCGAGTCAATAGCGAGTTATCGCTAGACGCGTGTTACGCGGTCGTTTGTGTCTCGCGCGCGGTTTTTATTTTTTGTCGTGCGCGGTTTCTATTTTGTCCTGTGTCGAACGTTCGGTGTGTCGCAGGTGTGTGCAGCAGACCCATCAAGAACTCAAGGATGAGTTTGTGATGAAGAGCCCGAGCCTTGGTGTCAAGCCTCAAGTGATTTCGAAGCTCGCCAAAAGGGTACACCTCAAGATATTGAAGATAGTTACATTACTTTGTGTAGTGTAACATTTCACTTGGTGAAGGCCCTAGTGAAGGGTAGTTTCGAGACCCTTCGTGGTTGAGGACAGTGTGGCACTGTTCCACATCACTGCACCTCGGCTCTTGGGGTTTGTAGGAGCTGGGAGTCATTCCCAACTCGTAACTCTTCATATCTCTTCCTATTTTGTTCTAAGACTATGTTGCTGCCATAGTGCCGTTCGTTCAAACCAGCGCTGTGTCGTCAAAACTTGGTCAAATCGTGCGATCTAAATTGCCTAGTGTAGGCGAGAAAATGACGCTCCAGATCCAAGTTGAATCAAGTCATTTGATGTTGTGACCAAAACGCTATGAACGTTTGAAGCCGCTGTGCAGAAATCCGACTGTGCACTCTATCTTTCGTTTTAGGCACATTGGAGCCTACTGTGACTATAATAGTACCGGTGACCGAGCTGGTGAGCAGTGCGGGGGCCCGCACTCCACCCAGCGCTGCTTTGGTCGCCTGATGGACGCGTGGCGTTGCCGGTTCCCTGAGGCGTCAGAGATCCCTCGCTGGGGAGATCTGTCTAGGGCGGGGGTTGCCGTCTTTGATCTTGACTATGATGCTATCCTTGGTGCCATGTATTCTGTGACTACTAGTGTTGAGGGTGACTGTTACCTGTGTGTACCGCCTGACCCGGGCATTGAGGCCACTGCTCTAGGTGCTGGTGAGGCTGCTGCTCTAGGTGCCAGTGCGTCTGCTGCCCCAGGTGCCAGTGCGTCTGCTGCCCCAGGTGCCAGTGCGTCTGCTGCCCCAGGTGCTGGTGAGTCTTCTCTCTCAGGTACTACGTCGGCTCAGGCCTTCCACATCTTCACCCTTGACTCGGGTGCGTCCCGCTCCTTCTTTCGAGACCACACCACTCTTACGCCGCTCAGTCGGCCGAATGCAGTCTCCCTGGCAGACCCCTCTGGGGGTCCTGTCCTTGCTAGCTTCTCCTCTGTCTTACCGTGCCCGACAGCCCCCTCTAACACCCTGTCAGGTCTCTACCTCCCCTTGTTCTCTACAAACTTGGTGAGTGGAGCGGACCTACAGGATAGGGGGGTTGACCAGTTCACTCCTGCGAGTCAGCAAGTGACCCACTGCACGTGTGCTCGGACAGGCCGACACTTGGCCACGTTCACCCGTCGGCCAGGGTCGAGCCTGTACACCCTTACTACTGAGTCTCCTCTGGCTGCTGAGTCTGGTCAGGTAGCTGCGTCGAGTCAGGTGTTTGCTGCAGCGTCCAGGTCTGGTCCTGAGTCTGCTCCCTGCTCGTGTCGTCTCCTATCCTACCAAACTCTCCTCTGGCACCACCGCCTTGGTCACCCCTCCCTGCCTCGTCTCCGAGGCATGGCCTCCCGTGTCCTTGTCTCTGGTCTCCCTCGGTCTCTCCCTCCCCTACCTCTGGGGCCTGGCCCTACCTGCGTCCCCTGCGTCGAGGGGCGACAGCGCGCCGCCCCTCACTCCTCCGAGTTTCCTCCGACAAAGGCTCCGCTACAGACCCTCGACATGGACGTGTGGGGCCCCGCCCGCGTCCGTGGACAGGGGCACGAGCGTTACTTCCTGTTGGTGGTTGACGACTACTCGCGTTACACCACAGTCTTCCCCTTGCGCAGCAAGGGTGACGTCACTGAGGTGTTGATCGACTGGATCCGCGCAGCTCGTCTCCAGCTCAGAGAGAGTTTCGGCTCGGACTTTCCTGTTCTGCGTCTGCACTCGGACAGAGGCGGGGAGTTTTCCTCTGCCCGTCTGGGAGCCTTTTGTCGTGCACAGGGCATCCGCCAGACCTTCACGCTTTCGGCCTCTCTACAGCAAAATGGGATTGCCGAGCGCCGCATTGGCATGGTCATGGACGCTCGTACGTCCATGATGCATGCGGCTGCCTCCCATTTTCTGTGGCCGTTTGCGGTTCAGTACGCCGCGCATCAGCTCAACCTTCAGCCCGGGGTCTCCTTGCCAGAGACCTCCCCCACCTTGCGGTGGACGGGGAAGGTTGGCGATGCGTCTGCGTTTCGGGTCTGGGGATCTCAGGCGTTTGTCCGCGACTTGTCTGCGGACAAGCTGTCCCCCCGTGCTGTTCCCTGCGTCTTCCTTCACTTCCCCCCTGACGCGCCTGGGTGGCAGTTTTGCCACCCCACCTCGCGCCGTGTTCTGTCCTCCCAGGACGTCACCTTTGACGAGTCGGTGCCTTACTACCGTCTCTTCCCCCACCGCACTGCGCCCCTCCCCCCGCCGCCGCTCTTCCTTGCACCAGATCCTCCCCCGGTAGACCCCCTCCCCCCTCAGGGTCCTGCCCCGTCAGGTGTGTCCCAGGTAGATGCAGTCGAGCCTGTTGAGGTAGCTATTGATTCTGGTGCTGCTAGAGGTGCTGAGCCTACGGGTGCCGGGTCAGGGGGTGCTGGGACTGGGGATGCTGAGCTTGGGGGTGCGGAGTCTGGGGGTGCTGAGACTGGGGGTGCTGAGTCTGGGGGTGCTGGGTCTGGGGGTGCGGAGCCTGGAGGTGCGGAGCCTTGGGGTGCCGAGCCTGGGGGCGCTGGGTCTTCTCGTGTGGCCGTCGGCGGTGCTTCGTCGAGGCAGGATCCAGTCTCTCCACAGTAGCTGGGCGAGTGGTTTGCCCGCCGCTGGAGACGTGCTGCTGAGACTAGGGGTGCTGCTGGGGCTACTGGAGTTGGTCCTGCTGGAGCTGCTGGCGGTACTAGTGCTACTGGAGCTAGAGCTGCTGGGGGTGTTGGTGCTGGTGTTTCTACTGGCGCTGGTGCGTCTGGGGCTGCTGCTGAGGGTGCTGGAGCTGACGATCCTACTGGAGTTGGTGCTACTGGAGCTGGAGCTGCTGGGGGTGTTGGCGTTGGCGGTGCTGCTGGCGCTGGTGCTTCTGAGGGTGCTGGAGTTGGCGCTGTTGGAGCTGGAGGTGCTGCTGGCGCTGGTGCTGCCGCTTGGGGTACTGGTGCCGTCCTTGCTGGTTCTGGAGGCGCTGAGCGGCCGAGGCCGTACTTCGTTGCGCTCCTGGAGCAGGTTCTTGGTCTCCCGCCCTCTCCTAGTCCTGCTCCTCCCTTAGAGTGTCCACAGCCTGTCCAGTCGCAGTCATAGTTACAGCCCGCCTCCCCTCTACCTGCTCCTTCTCCCTACACTGGTCTCATGGAGGTCTTGCTGAGCAACGTGCGCCTGCGTCTCGTCCTGCGTCGCCTGTTCGCGCTGCTCGCACTAGTGGTCGTATTGCGCGTCCGCGTCCTCCTGCGGTCCCCGGCACAAACCAGATGGCGCTGCGTCCTTCCACTGCTTCTTTGCGTGTCTCGTTGCTGTCTCCTCAAGAGTCCTCTCTTCCTACTCTTGCTGACCCGGAGTCTGACTCCCTTCGTGCTGCTAGTCGTTCGGTCACGCGTCTCCTTGCTACTATTGTCACTGACCCTTCCTTTGAGTCCATTGCTGCGTCTGCTCTAGTTGCTGAGCTTGTCGACTTCGCTGCTCGCTGTCGTCTTGACTACGCTGCCAGTCTCGTTGCTGAGTCTGAGTCTGTCTGTCCTGCGTCCGTCGGGGGTGAGTGTGCTCTTAGCACGGACGTCCTTGAGGATAGGCAGGAGGAGTTCCAGTGCTTTGCTACTGCTTTGCCCCATCTCGTGTCCACGCTGATTGCCCCTGAGGGAGACCCGGATGCACCAGACATCCCGACTCCTCGATCGTACGCTGAGGCGATCGAGGGTCCCTACTCCTCTCAGTGGCAGTCAGCCATGGACGTAGAGATGGCTTCCTGGAAGTCCACAGGCACCTACGTCGACGAGGTTCCCCCACCTGGGACGAACATCGTCAGTGGTATGTGGATTTTCAGGGTGAAGCGGCCTCCGGATTCTCCGCCTGTCTTCAAGGCGCGTTACGTGGCTCGAGGTTTCAGTCAGCGGCAGGGAGTTGACTACTTTCAGACCTTCTCTCCCACCCCGAAGATGACCACTCTTCGGGTGCTGCTGCACATAGCCGCTCAGCGCGACTACGAGCTTCACTCTCTTGACTTCAGTACAGCTTTCCTGCAGGGCAGCCTGCACGAGGAGATCTAGCTGCGCCGCCCACCTGGCTTCACTGGGTCGTTTCCCCCTGGTACCCAGTGGAGCCTCCAGCGGCCAGTCTACACTCTCCGCCAGGCACCTCGTGAGTGGCACGACACACTGAGGACTACACTTGCGGCTCTTGGGTTTGCTCCTTCTACAGCCGACCCGTCGCTGTTTCTACGCACCGACACCTCTTTGCCGCCGCTCTACATCCTCGTGTACGTTGACGACTTGGTCTTTGCCACTGCTGACACTGCTGGACTCACCCAAGTGAAGTCCGAGCTGCAGAAGAGACACACGTGCACAGACCTGGGTGAACTGCGCAGGTACCTTGGCTTGCAGATCACCCGGGACAAAGCACAGCGCACCATTACCCTGACTCAGTCACACATGGTGCAGCAGGTCCTTCGGCGCTTCGGCTTCACGTACTCCTCGCCTCAGGCCACTCCTCTGTCTACTCGCCACTC